GTGGCAGCTTAAAGCCGGACGATTGACATGGAAGATTACAACTCTGTGTTTATTTTACAAAAAAAAAAAAAAAAAAAAAGATCTGTCTTGAAAAGTATCCTCCTCTGGCTTTTACCAAGGCCTGGAAACCTGGTGCACGGGTAACATACACCTCCTTCTCTCCCTTTGCCAACACAAACAGCAATTACTGCTGGCTCAGACAAACCCTGAAAGAAGCAGGTTCTTGTCTGCAAGGAAAGCACCCAATTAGCTTCATTGTTCCAAAATAGATGTAAAGGTCCTTTTTAATTTAAGTTGCTTGGTCGTGCTCCACAGGGTGGAAGCCCCATGTGTCCCGAATGCCATTGAGAGGACCACTGTGTTAATTTAGTCTCACTGTAGGATCTTCCGACATCTGGCTCTGACACAGAAGCTGGAAAACAATTTTAATATTCTCATGATAGTCCCAGGGACATGTGGAAAACATCCACAGACTGACTAAAACCAGAAGTTTTGGCTTTGGTGTCTTTTGGTGTGAAAATAATAGTAAACTCATGGTGACTTGGAACATTTGCATGAAAAACAAAATACTTGTGTCTGTTGTGTCCATGTGCTCAGAATCTTTTTATTTTTCCAATAATAAAGAACTGGAAACTTGATAGGCAGAACAATTGTACTATTCATTTTTATCTGTACATTTACATTTAAATAGTGGAAGAACATATATTTAATCCTCATGCTACTGTTACACCTGAATGACCCTAATGTGAGACGATAAAAGGTATTTCTATTATATTATATACATTTCTCATGACCACATGCTCAGCATGTTTTATTTGGTTTTTAACTCACACAGTGAACATAAAAGGACACATTTGTTTTGTGAAAAGATAAAGAAAAGTGAGTGCATATTTCCATCCTATGCCTTTACTATGAAAACCCCAAGTAAACAGAATGCAACCGAATCCCTTACAAGAGTCATCAAGCATGGAGTTTAATTCTCCTGACAGCATTTTCAGAGAGAATTATTGAACAAACAACATCAGGAGCAGGAAACATATTCGACAATGGCAGGGAAATAAATGTAATTGCACAAAATAGATTTTATTTGAAGCGGACAGTGAATATTAATGATGAAAAAATATTTTGGCAAATACACTGGATTTAGCAAAATGCAAATCCTATAACAACACATTAATGCAAAATGTTATTTTTGATAATGCAAGAAGGCACAAAGAACTACAAAAAACATATAAAGACAATTAAACTTGGTTCTAAGATACCTATATCAAAGTGGTAGAAGGTTTATGAAAATATCTGTCATGACATACTAAATAAAATAGGAAGTTCTCAAAAGATACAAAGGGTGATGGAAGTATTTTTAACCAGGATTAGATTTCATAAAATCATCACTTTTGAACATCTCGCAAAGACCAGTCTGAAAAATATGGCACAGTTTTAAACCAATAAGGAATACATCATAATAGCTCTGGAGAAGCTCAAGTGGAAGAATATAACTATTAGTTATTAGCATGAGCAGTACAGATCTTGCCTTTGTGTACTGATGGTGATAAGACGGCTTAGCAGAAGCCATTTGTAGTTTACCCCAAGCTCACATTGGAAACAAGTGGAAGAAGGTGATATGGTCAGATGAAACCAAAATGATCTTTGCTTTACTGAAATATAAGAGTGCATATGTAGATACTATGCATCACCCTGCTCACAATTTTTTCATAGTGAGACATGGTTGTTGCAGCATCATGCTGCAGGGATGCTTTTCTTTAGTAGAAACATTAAAGCTGCTCAGAGTCAAGGGCAAGATGAACATAGCTAAATAAAGATAAATTCTAGAAGAATATTTTTTCAAGGCAGCAAATACTTGATATTCCTTTAAGGTAAATTAGTTATTTACCTTAAAGGATCACAGCTTCAAACACGAAGCCAGCGCTAAGAAAGGTTTACATCAGAATGTACTCAAGGATCTTGCTATATGTCATACTACCCGCTTTCCAGTTTTCAGTTGTGCATTACTTAATGTTAGTCTGTCACATTTAATTTAAAAACAATACATTTAATTATTTCAGTGAATTTTAGTGTTGCATTTAATTTAATATATTCAAACAGTATCAAATGTGTGAAAATTTTTTACATTTCTATACCTAAACAAGTTCTTTTTAAACTGCAACAATGATTGGTTTGTTTTCAGTTTTGGAGACTTGTCACATTGACAAGTCTGGATGACGAAAAAATGGCAAGAAAGATAATCCCTGTGGTTGAGAGCAGAACAGTCCAGTAAAAACATGAATAACCAGGAGGATCAGTAACACATAAAGTGTCTTGTTCAGTATTTATAATATTCCTCTCTCAGGAACAAGACCATAATTATATAGTGCTGGCAGTGAACGCTGACAGAGAGGATGACTAGGCCGTACTGTGGGACTTTTCTTTGCCCGCTCATCTTCAGGAGCAGAGCCCACAGTTCTCCGGAAAAGCCGTAAAACATGACCGCAGGTCTGGCGAGGTGCAGGGCACCAGACAGAACAATCAAACAGAACAAGATTGTTCCTGGATTTAATATGACGTGAAGGTTGCTCAGAGGTGCTGAATGTCCCTGTTGTTTGTCCTCACAGATGGGAGTCTCTGTGGTGGACTCTGCAGTTGCTGGCCTCGGTGGTTGCCCCTACGCTCAGGGTTCATCTGGCAATGTTTCAACAGAGGATGTTCTTTACATGCTCCATGGCATGGGCATTGAAACTGTAAGTTTGTCTTCATAGTTCAGTTTGGCAGACCTGTCTCAGTAATCCCCCAGAAAACCATACCCACACAATCCTTCAGACCATATTGACATAAACTGATTGCTCTGCAAATACGCTGCTCTGTAAACGTTTATTTTTCCAATATCAATGTCTTTACACAACTTATGCAAGAGCAAGAAGGCACTGCACTTGTGCTCCCTCAAACTCTTTAACAATCCCTACCCCTGCTGGTGGAATATTTCTATTGCAGTTTCATTTTTGTTGCGATGGGATCTAGCCTGAATTATTACTTTTTTGTTTTGTCTTTCTGTTTCGCAGGGAGTGAACCTTGACAAAGTCATAGAAACCGGGGACTTTATATGCAACGCTTTAGGTCGCAGGACAAACTCCAAGGTGGCTCAGGCAAGAAGCATGGCACTTTGAGGATGCTATGTACATTTATGCACTTGCTTTTTAAGGGTGTATTCTGCTGTTTTTCTTTTCAGATCTGTTTTCTGCACCATTGTATTTGAATTTGTTGATTCTTGTTTTTCATTTAACAAAACGTCTGACTGCTAGGACCTTGATATGGTTCAGAACCAGTCCAAGTTGTTATGGCACCCATGGCAGAAAGTTGATCTATGGGCTCATTCTACCACCTTCCACAGCCTCACTGAGCATGCTTGGACTGTGCCTGGTCATTTATTCATCCTGCATTAATTACAGCTAATGTTAAAATTAACCAGCGTGCCAATTTCTGTTGAAATGTCCCAAGAACAAATGTTTGCATCAACATGCTACATGGGATACATGCTACCACTTCTTGGGAGCATACAGCAGTACTACCCAATGGATTAAAGTATTTGTTTTCCCTGCTAGATTGCAGCTACAATCTAAACCACCCAAAGAACCCAATAATTTTGCTAAAAATGAAGGAATCAGAGCTCCTTAACTGTTTTTGTTCTTTTTTAAAACCCTGACTGAAAAGACTGTGATCATACCGAAGGTTACAGTTATTTGATATTTATTTTTGTGTCTGTCTTGCAAAGTTGCAGTATATAATAAAAGGATGGTATCTAAAAAGACTTTGGATTTTAATTTGATATTATCTAAAATAGATCAGAGCAGTGTATGTTTATTCTGTGCAGGGCCCTTTGAAAATCAGATGAGAAGATTTGAGAGGAGGAGCTTCAACAGTACAACAGTACACTTCAACTTGTAGTTGAAGTGTGTTTATGTATGACTTTTACAACCATTAATTATGGAAATTAGATCCATTTTAACTTTGGACTTTCAATCATCCATTTTAACAGTTTTGTCCTCAGAGTGGAAAGATGATACACACGACAACAACAATTGAGCACACAAACATAAGTTCAGTTTATTGCTTTTGGGAAGTATTTCTTTACCTGCTGCATTTTTACAACTCATCTCCACGGTGCTTCAAGTCTTTTTGTACTCCAGGTCGTGTAATTCTAAATGTATCCAAAATCAATAAATCCAATGTTTTATCAAATGTCACCAATAGTTTATTCAGCTGTGCATAAAAAAAATATTGACTATTTTCAAATAATTTGTTTGGTTTTTTTTTGTCTAGGAGGAGTGAATGCTAAAAGTCAGTGACCTGTTAGATTTTCTGAGACTTTTTTTTTTAACTAAATTGAATAATGATTTGAATTTAATGCACTCCATGCTCAATAAGAAAAAAATAATTTGAATATACAGTATGTATGATTGAAAAAATTGAATGAGATTGCCATGTTACTGTAGAGTTTTTAAATGAAACTGTTAACTGTCCAAAATGTTCAGGGATTATTTTATGATCAAACAATATGTGCTTTTACTAATAAAGACATTGGTGAAGTTTTAGAAGTTGATTTAATGCTATATGTGATTTTGAAAACTGACTAATGTAGAAAAAAGCAAATGTTTGATCAGAAGGTACCCCATTTTCCACCTTTAGCTGAAAGATTAATATTTTTTCTGTTTACCTTGGAACTAAAATCTAATAAGCAAACAAAGTAATAATCCAGCCATTTGATTAGAAAATGATACATGCACTTATTAAAAATGACCTTGAATCATATCAACTTACTTTCTTAGTCAGAAATGTTTTGAAATGATATGTACATTTATTATAGCCTAAGGGGCTGTGAAACTTTTATTAACGACTGTAAATACTGCACCAGAGAACATAAAGTTGATCTTGGGGCTGCAAGAACAACTTTTGTAAGTTCCTGCAGCTGCAGCACATTCACTTCAAATCTAAAAATATTTAGCATGCATTTTCTTATATCTCATTACTACATACTATCTGTGATGCTGCCTTAAAAAATTGCTGATGTTAAGTGGGGGAAAAAGTTCAGGAAGGTGTAAATAGTTTTGCAAGTCACTGAATGACTCCAGGACGTGATACTTTGAATAGGGAATTTATTTTGCAACATAATAACTTCCACCAAGCAGCGACCTCCAGATACAATTACCTATTTAAAACCAAAAGGAGTAGTCACAGATACAGTTGCTAATAAAAAAAAAGTTTGTTCATTAAGAACAAACTTCAGGTCACAGAAAATATTCTTTGAGTTTAATTAACTTTGTATGAACCTAACTGCTTATTCAAACTGCTAACACCTTCAAACCTAAAGTTCCATGAGTTATTATAAAATGTCAAATGGACAAGTGACACACTGAGTGACTCTTTCAGATATTTTATCTGAAACACATAAAATATGAAACTAAAAAATAGTCACGAAGAGGATGTTATATTATAAAGTGAAATGATTCACCTTCCTTTGATGGTTAAGTTTTATCTGCTCTCTCCTTTTCAACCTAAAAGAAAACATGATGAAAAGCAATGTTTTGAGGTTTGCTGTTCAGAAAAATGTCAGTCCTTTCAACAAAAACGTGTATATTGTTTACGTACCACATCTTACTGAGAAAAACCAGAGGTGATATTATGACAACTCCAGCAAGGAAGAGAGCTGAAAAAGCATACAAGAGGTAACCTACGAAAAATAAATAAATAAAAATATTAGTTTTACGTTTTTTGGTATTTAGTATCTATTATAGAATGAAATAAAAATGATTGAATTTCAAAAGCTGCTTTACCATATGGCCACATGTGAGAATGCTCGGATTCATTGATTTCAGGTGCTTTGGAAGGGCTGATGTTGCTTTTCACCAGTTTCACTGAAAAAAAGAAACTGTATTCAAATTCTTATAAATGTTGAAAAGAATTATTTGAAACACTTCTTAGAAGTAAATACACTACTTACTGAAGTGTAGTCTGTTGTGAAATACTTCAAGAATCATGTTGCACATCCGTAGATGATTGCTGTGCACTCCTTTGCATGTGCAAGGATGATGAAGCACCGTACCCAAAGTGGCTAAAAAGGCCCTTCTGCATTCAGAATTTGTGCCAAGGATAAGAGCGGGATCCTTTAAAGTAAAACATTCATTTTCTTGGAGATTTCTTTCACTGCATAGGATTTCTTCATGATTCCAACATTTGTCTTGGAGTGTTTTCAAGAGGTACCTAATGAATCAGGAAGAAAAACAACCACACAGGCAACATGTTTTGATAAGAGGTCCACATTCTTAACAAGCGTACTGTTCTAAGAAATAACTTGTGAACGAGAACAGAACCGAGTGTTGTGAGTGTACAGGACATTCTCGCATGCCCTTCATTGCGACAGGCAACATTTTTAGTAGAGATAGAATTCACAAAGTTGTATTTGTCAAAAAGAGAGAAGCTTTAAAAAAAAAAAAACAAGATAAATAAATCCAATAATTAATTTTGTATCACTGGTTTATCTTGTAGCTGCATGGTCACATGTGATGAGAGGTGACAAGTTATTGCTACACAAGATGGAAGGTACATCCATAAGATGCTAGTCTGACACAGAGCCAACAAAAAAGTCAAAGTAAAAGTAATCATTCAAATTCAACTAAATTTAATTTTTGGTATTCCGCAAATAACCCCTATTAATAGTACATATCTAATAACTGTGCGCGGGTTAAGAAAAAGCATAAAAAAGCTCATTTAAAATTTGATGCAAAAAATGTATATGTTTATGAAATACTGATAAATATAACTCAACAGTTTGTGAGTCATTGCATGCATTATTTTTAGAGGGGAATTGTCTTCCATTTTATGTAACCGGTAAAAGGTTGAATGGACAATTTCACAGAAATATTCTTGATAAAAATCCAAAGATAAAATGAAGCTTTTGGTTTTGCTTTTTCAAGGGTTACTTTGCCAAGATCTGTAGTATGGGGAAATCAACAATGTTTGAATGTGTTTTTTTAAGAACATTACAACTCGAGCTGCTTCAAGGCACATCGAGCCTAAACCTTTGATGTTGTGTCACTGCCATCTACTTGTGGAAAGGTGAATGAACAGCAAAAGTGCTAAACACACACTGCAACACTGAGAACAGAATTACACTATTACTATTTCATCTAATATGGTACAAAATGGCTCTTAATCTTTGACTCCTTTTACAAATAGCCAGTTGATCTCACTTGTTTTCATTGGTATTCTTACAATAATTGTGACTGCCACCTCCCTGCTTTTATGTCACAAGTCCACTTCTGTTTCAGCTTTTAAGATATCAGAGGATTGTGTTTGGCCGACATAAAAATGTTATATTTAAAAGGTTCCATCAGCAGTAATCATCTTGGCTTTCTGCAAAAACATCAAAAGTCATTTCTCATTGATCCTAACATTTTCACAGTCAAAATCATTTTTAAGCATTAACTGGTGTTAGATCCAAACTCTGGATCTAACACCATTTTTCTGCCTCCTTTCCTTCCTACTCCTCCACACATTTCAAAAGCCTTTTATAGGACTGTCAGTCCGAGTCAAAAAACACAGTTTTCAGGCAGTTTCATTCTTTTCAAGGACCTTCATATTAGAATTCACTTGCAAACCAGGGTTTTCAGTATTTTTTTTCTCCCTGGTTATCTTTAATAAGCAAATGCTCTGCGTCTCGAATCTTAGCATACTTTATGTCATTCATATTACCTTGCTGCCTGGCATATTAGTTCCCTATAGCAGGATCCATAAAATCCAGCATACAAATTCATTGTATTTCAACAAATATTTTATATTAATTTTTGGATATTTTCCAGGGCATGAATCTTTAAAACTGGAGTTCCTTCCAGTTCAGGAATGGATGTATTAACTTTTTATTTTAGGACTGGAGAAGAACCTACCTGCAGTTGCTGTCTTGGACACACTGAGTGACTCTTTCTTGGCAGATCCTTGTCTCAACTCCACAAGCCCCGCTCTGCAGCCCGGATTTCATGAGCAAACAGCTTTGATCTGAGTCGTCACACTCACACATCACCAGCATCTCGGCAGACTGTTGAGGCATGCCTCCGTAGAACTGTTGAATTTCCTGCCGACACCTTTCATTGTCACACTGATCAGCCATGCACGCTTGAAGAACAGGAGTGAGACGCTTGTTGCAAACAGGCTCACTCACACAATGACCAATGCGGTCCACACAGGATCCAGAGCCTTCATACACTGGAAGAAGCACATCTATAGCAGAGAAAGTGAGTGATGAACATTTAAGTATATTTTCTTGTGGGCTTGTTGATATGAAATTTATGCTAAACAATAAGTAAGCCAGCTCCAGTTAGTCCACAATTTGGATTTCAGAAAGGAACAGAGTGGATGACTCATGTGAACTCAAAGGAAAAGAAGGGCAACAAAAGGAACTAAAAAATGGTTTAATAGTGAAAAACCTATAATTACAAATCAACATCAGCTTGGTTTGTCGTAGCTTAGGGGCTATCAACAGAACAGCACGAAGACTATGTAGCAAATATGATACAACCTAGCATATTGTTTTGGCAAACTTTGTACAATTAAAGAAAGAAGAAAAGACAAATGGAGTTCATATCAATATGCCAATTTTTAAATGGATGTACTGTATTGTGTTTTGTCATAATAAATAAATCATTTTCACCATTGTCTGCTAAATTACTTGATTTCCAGACAGTCGGTGTGATCTTCCCCTGCTGAATTGCTGTTCAAACAAGAAGACACAGAATTAGTTTTCAAATAACAAATACTCATTCAACTGTGTGCTTTTCTGGACATATTCTACCATACAACAACCAGTGTTTATATAGCTCATCACCTTTCGTAAACAAAACCATAATGTCAGGCATTAATGCTTAACCCAAGCATGAATGAGAGAACACAGCACCTGGCTTTTGGAGGCATTGTGTGGCCAGCATTTGTATGGAGTCACAGAACTCCTCCTCCCATGTACACACGCACCCTTGCAGGGATGGAAAGTGGTCCAGTGCAGCCTGGATGGTCAAGTTACAGTTCTCTGAACCCTTTATTTGGCACCTGTCATCTTGAATATCACAAACAAATAAACAGGGTTTTTCATAAGCTGGTGAAGTTTCTGTGCAACAGGTGTTTTCTACCTCACTGTCAGTTTTAGATGTTCAACATATTAGTGATATTTATAAGGCTCTACTATTATTGAGAACCTGAAAAACACAGAACAGAGTATAAAATGTAATTTTTACTGAATGAGATAATTTAAAAAACAAATTATTATTAATAATCTATTGAAGACATACATAAAAAGTATAGCTTTTGTGTAACCATCAATTATTCAGATTATGTTTAAAGAAACAATAACAAGTTTTTTCAAGATTGCAATGATAAATTTCCACCTTGTCCACCTGTTAGTATTTTAAAAGGAGGTTACCAGAAAAACATTTTATAACTCCAATATTATTTTTATGATTTTTTTTTATTTCTATTAAAATTAGTGGTGAGACTGTCAGTAAATTTGAAATAATTAAACGACTGAAAAACACCAGGTGTCAAATTAAGTTGTATGTTAAATTTTACAACTGTGAATTAGTGAATTAATTTCAGGTTTCACGAACAAAGCTGATTTAGATGGAAACATAGTCCTTACATGGCACCTGGTTTCACAAATCTATACCAAAAAGTAGCATTTTTAAGAGTGAACTGTAAACATGTTATTTTATTCTTCTTAATGTTTTACCCTCACAGTTGCCAGCGACAAGTGCCCTCTCACAGCTGCATAAGTCTGACATGCAGGTCTCCACTGAAGCCAAAAACCCAGAAGCTGGAGATGAGAAGCTGAAACTGGATATCTGCATAAAAAAAAATCCTAAAATACATATTGAAATGACATCTTTTAAATAATATTCCTTAATTATACTGAGTACAGGTGAATTAGAACTAATTACTGGTTTTGTCAAAAAGCTATTAACAAAATTTCACGGACAAAAATGTAAATTGTTGTTATTTGTTGAAGCAGCTTTTTGTAAAGTCTACTTACCAAGAACAAGTCCGACATCCAGATGTATCAAATGCATGCTGGCTGCTGTGATGATGACTGATTCCTCCCTGAGCCTGATCTGTCCCTGATCTGCCCCTCTCTGTGGAGTTCCAGCTGAAGCAGTGATTCACCACCACAGAGTCAACGTGATGTAACACATTCATTACAGCCTCTACTTGTAATTCCAAAACAGACGCAAAGATGCAACATTCTGAATTTATTTACACAATTAGAGTTCTACAGGGGATACCAGTTAATGATTTATCCAATTAAGGGCTCTGTCTTCCCATTTAAGTTTTTTGGGGAGCTTCTATATTTGTGTTGTTTCTGTTTCCCTTATTAATTTATCTTATCTTCCACTTATTTCATGTGACTAAGCTGTTAAAATTACAGTCTTGCAAAACTGTTCATACTTCTTGGAATTTTTTACATTTTTCCAGATGGTAGCATAATGCATGTGAACTGTCTGACAGGAGGTCATGTCAGATGGTTTCCATTTGTGCCATGCTCTTTTCATTCTCAGATGATGGACTGGTCAGTGGTCTGTGAGATTTGCAAAGCTTGGAACATTCTCTATCGTTCTCTATAAAACTTTTAAGGGCCTCACACAACAGCAATATTCTGATCAAACTACACACATGGGATACACTTATTACTTTTCCAAGCACATATGGCCATTTCATAGCACAATCAAGTAACTATGTTACCTTCAGTTGTTATAATAATGTTGTATATATCAAACCTTGACACCTTGCAATTTGGCCTCTGTCTCTTTAAGAACCTCCTCCTCCTGCCATAACAAATTCACGGATTCATCAAACATGCAATGAAGGATTAAAGCAATACTTCAGATTTTGATAACGTAAAACATTCTAAGCTCAAAAAAAGAAGTAAATTTCACATACTGCACCTTAAACGAATTGTGAAAGTTTTGCTTATTCCAAACAGTCAAGAAATACTGTGCAAGTCATAAGCTGGATACAAATACGCCACAATAAATGTAAATAAGATGTGAATGTCAACAATAAACTGATATATTGCACAATGAAAATAATTTATTGCTCAACCACATACAGTTTAAGCACTTTGATTGCAGTAGTCAACTCGGATGAAGAACGTTTAAAAAACCCACAGAACAAATTAACAATCACAATATCCCTGTATAGATTACAAATCATAAGAAACAAAAACAAGACACTACATTTCAAACCAAGTAACAATGTACATCTGCATGGAAGAAGCAAAATAATTTGTTTAAATCATGAAGCTCAACACCCTAAGACTTCAAATTATTGCAAACTTTTTTTAGCAGTGACATCAAAACTCAATGGTTTTCAATCAGACGATCAAAATGTGAAATTATTTTTTCAAACCTATAACTTTAAAATTGCAAAATAATCACAATAATAAATACAAAACAAACAAATAACGGCAACAGTGTCCACAATTACTTTCAACAAAGCAAACCTTCAATAGTTCAGCTGGTCAGAAACACAGTCCAGCACAAGTCAATGACCAGACATAAAGCAGGTCCTTTGAAGCTAATTTTCATCTTTGTTTTCTTTGATTACAACATGATTGTTGTAACCTGTTGATATTTCAACAGATGCAGTGATTGCAATTATGAATAACATTGATTAAGCAATAATTTGTTTCATCATTTCAAATGTTTGTGTAAGAGCAAAACGATGCATGACAATCAATCCTTCAGTAGATTTTTTTACTCTAATTTGAGTAAAATATTTCCCGACAGAAAACATATTTTACCTTGGAACAATTAAAAAATAAATAAATAAATAAATAATAATATTCTAAACAATCTGGACCTATATAAATAAACTCCTCTGTTTTAGTAGGCTTGTGATAAAATTTAAAATTTTAGACATGACTTTTATACCACGTCCTTGGTTGAAGAAACAAATAATTGGTTACAAAAGTGGTTGTAACAATTTCTGCCCTGCTATCTGCCTGTTAATAGATGTTTCTTTCCTTAGCAGCCTGACATACTTTTCCAGAAGATACATTGTAATGCTCACAAAATAAGAAAACAAGACTACCTTAAAATACCTTGAAGCATCCACTCAAAATATTATTTCTATAAAGTGGGAAATTGCCTTTTTACATAGTTTGAGATTCAAAAATCTGACTTCTGTGGTTTGCATGTACTGGCTAAAAGGTGAACTTTAGTATTGCTGTTAACAAAGTAAGCTAAATCAAAGTTTACCACCACCACTAATACTGTAATTTGACAATTTTAATTATTTATTACCTTTACATTCAATCTTAATTCACATCTGCAGTCTTTCACCAACAAAACTCATTGAGGTTCTCTGAGCAACAAGGGACTTGATCTTTTCAGCCACAACTCCTCCACTAGAATAGAATAAATAATTAAATAATAAATAAATACTTTAATTGCTGAAACAAAATACATTTTTAAAATCAGCACAGTTTTAATATGGAAAAAAGGGTATATTATTAATATGTGTAGCAAAACAAAGAAAACACTGAACCTTAAAGTTGCATCATTTACAGTTTATAGAAATCCATCTTTTGAAATTAAACATATTTTATCAGTCTCCAGAAAATAACATTTGAAAGTTCTTTGAAAATGTTCACTAATATCCCATTTACTCTTTTGTAGCAAGTCCTTGGAGAGTTTTTACATTCTTCAGTGGGATTTTTTGCTATCTCCATGTCCTTGAGATGGATATTTAAGCCTCTCACATGTATTAAAGTCTACACAATCTGGTCTGATAGCCGTGATAAGTTGTCCACATTATTAACTTGGGTTGACATGGACTTTCGGCTGTCTCTGTTTGCTCGCATCCTCATCCTTGTATTGTTGTCTTTCTGTTGCCCGTAACAAGAGCAAGAGAATGCTGATTTAAACTCCTCACGGAACTTCCCTGGAAAGAAGGCAAATAATATTAAATGCTTTGAATCATGGGCCTTTCAAGTTTGTTTATTTAAAAGAGATCATGCACAAGAAAAACATTTTGTTCAAAGAGCCAAGACGAACTGCGTTACTCTGTTTCTTTCCAGCTAATTGTCATCTGCTGTCCCCATGTCTGATTCAAGAAGGACCAGAAGTGACAAAACATCAATAAAAGAAAGATCAAATCTTGAAAAAACACATTAAATGGAAAATTAAAAATGTATGATTCAATCTGAAATTCAAAATCTAAAATCCTAAAAGTCTAATCTCATTACTTTTATACTGAACCACAATTCCTTCAAATGCAGGTTGAAGTTTATAAAACCATTTTCTTATTTCTTCATAAATAAGAAAATAAGAGTATTCTCATGGCCATCGTTATTACCTCTTGGACGGGCATAAAAACTAAGCCAGCCAAATTGACTGATTGTGATACTTCACATCCAATCTGATTGAGCTTCAGCTATTTTGCAAAAGAAAATTGACAAAACCATTTATCTCTAGATTTGCAAAACTTGTAGACACCCAAAAGACAGAAAGGTGTAATTTTACAAACTACTGTCTCAAGATAACTGAATTTAAAAAAGTCCACACAACACCCACCAGATTCTTATTTATAAGAAAAAAAAAACACATAAAACCTGCTGCACCTCTTTCTTTCGCGTTGCAATTATGTGAAGCTTGTGTGTATAATATGAACGAATTCAGAAATGTTAAGGGTTTTCGTCACTTTCACATGTCAATGTAACCTTTTATTGCCCCACAGAATTTAGAAATGCTTCAGAACACATAATTAACAGATAGAAGTCCAATCCGTATATGAACAAGTAAACTCAAACCCATGAAGAAATATATTAAGTGTAGAGGTTGGATTATCAACAAACTGTGGATTGGAACTCCAAGGATTTGGGTAATTGTTAATATAAAACTGTTCACTAGAGGGCAGTAATAAACCTGCTCTTTTGCGAAGAAAAACGTTAGAAACAAAGGAGATTGAAAAACTCACCACTCAAAAAATTATAGATGATGGGATTTGCTGCACTGTTTGCGTATATTAGCCAGTGTGAAAAAGTGAACCATGCATATATTGTTTCTCGATCGTTTGTGTTCTTAAAGGTCCCAAAAACCCTGAAGGTGCAAAAGAAAAAATGAAAATAGGCATCAAGTTTGTTTTGTCATACACTGTATTGTTAAAATAAGCCACAGTTTTATGCATTTAAAAAAATCTACTGCAGTCAAAAAGATGAGAAAGGTATTAAGAAAAATAACAATTTTGATGCATAGGCCCCTAATACTTTAGTTCACATTTCATTTTTATTGGCTGTCGATGCTGTAAACAGAGGAGCTGGAGAGATTATTACCGTTTCAGGATATTGAGCACACTGATCGGTAAGTAGCAGAGAGCAAACACAAAGAGCACAACCATCAGCATGCGAGCTGTTTTGCGTCTGGCTCTGATTTGTTTGATCTCAGCGGAAACTGTGCTTGTCTTCATCCCTCCAGACTCTCCCGATCCTGAACTCCGAGCTGAGCACTGGATAGTCCTCCAATTCCTCTGAATCACCGATGTGTTTCCAGGAATCTAGTTAGTGAATATATGCATATTTGAGAGGTTTTCAACAATTATCATAAACATATAATATATATTGTACGCTTATTTTTGACTTCATGAGATGAGGAAGCACGTAATTTAAGACTTAGTGAAGCAACTAATGGTGTAGTTATTGGCTTTCTTGTGTAATGATGAAAGTGTTCAAATTCATAGCCTGGTTAATATCTATTTTAATATTTGCTCAATAAAATAGAACAAAATGCTATAATGCCTTGAAGACTGTTTCATCCTTTGCATGTGGAGTTCAGATGCAATCTAGATCATATGGTTTTTCCTGATGAGAGCATTTATCATGTAAATCATTTAGCTTAGCTGAAGGAGCTGATTAAGGCTATTGAAGAGTTTAAAGTTAAAAGCTGAAGTCAACATCTACTAAGATTAAAATGTATATACAAAAGTCTATGACCTGACTAGTTTATTTCCATTTATCTAACACAACATGTACTAACTGGATATTTGATTAGGCTCAACTGTAGGTATCTATGCAGGAAAGGCATTGAGCTGAAATGTAAAACCATCAGAGTGGGGATCACATGGTATTTAGGTTGCTGTGAATGTGACTCTTTGGCTATTTAAGAAACTACTTTGATTTTCACACAGCCTTTTCCCTGGGTTATACAGAATGGTCAGACATATTGCAATCATCATCTGGGAGTGGCAGTAGTTTGGAGGACAATGCCTTGAGTTCAAGTGAATGATCCCTTGTCTGCCCGAGTCACAGAAAGTTGAGAGATTAGATACTCAGTTTAGTCGTTAGAATGCATGTGAGTTTGCCTAATTGTCAGTTGAATAGATCATTTATGTGACCTGAGATGAGTTGTACTCTGCAGGCTTAGGAACCTCAAGACCCCTGGGGTGGAGAGCAGATTAGGTATTTACTTTTCAGAGTAGGAAAAGGGCATAATACTTCAGAGAGTGAAGGAAATTAAAAGGAAGAGGTTCAACATGTCATATAATGTAACCCTACAAAAGCGATACTTACATGATCTTTACAAGGTTGTGTACAGATACACACATATATATAGGAAGATCATTACATTTCACAAAGCAGTTGGAGCCAAGGATCAAGACACTGTTGAAAATAATCACACCAGCTCCCAAAATAGACAGTAAAAAATAAACTCATACTGACTAACAATTGAAACATAATAAACAATTGCAATAAAATAGAGAATTAATCAGTATATAGCATAATATTGAATATGGCTTGCATACATTGACTTTGTGCATATCTCAGGGTCTCAATGTTGAACAGAGCTAGTAAAAACTTGCTTAGTTTGTGAATATGCTATACACAAACATATTCTCTCTTTAATTTTTATTTATTTTCAAGCTGCACAACATATTGTATTTAGAGAATTGCTGAAGAATAATGATGAGAAGCCTAACAGCTGCCTCAACAGCAGAAAGCAAACATTTTGAATTTGTTCATCACAATTATTAGAAATAGACCTTTTTTAAGTTTGACATACACACCTGTTGGCACCACAGCTTGTGACAAATCTGAATATAAGCCAGGACCATCAGACATAATGGAGCAAAATATGTAACAATGAAGAAGCCAGTGTGGTAGACTTTTGGGTAGACCTCAGCTGCAAAAAGAAAACAAAAAAAAGGACAAAATACCGTGATGAAAATAAGAATTATCAGATTTAAAAAAGGACAAAATACCATGATAAAAATAAGAATTATCAGATTGAAAAAAAAAAAACAAGATCAGGGATGATGGGTTACTGAAAAAAACTGAAAAAATTAAAATAAAATTCAGTAATTGTGGTGTAGCCTATACATTAATCATTGCATTAAAAATGCATTGAAAAATATGCAACTCATCTTAAAAGAACCATAAAATTACTCATTAACTGCATTTGATGTAAACTGTGAAATAACACTCTATTTCTGTTTATCCATCAGTAAGTTCTTACTCCTCATTAGGAAAATAAAGAAATTGAAAAATGAAACAAAAAGTTTCTGATGTATGAAGGCAATTGTTTTCTGCAGTGACTTTTACAGGAAATTGGTTTAAAAAGCTTTTCTTCCTTTGAAAGCTGTAATTACAGAAGCAGCCTGACAGGATTACCCTAAAACCATTTCAAGCCACTTTCTGTTTTTTTTTTTCTAACTCTGCACACAGCGATCGCAGCAACACAACATTTTAGTGAACTCATTGTCTCCTGCTCTTTTGTGCTATGTCTAATTTCATAAAAACAAATCAAACTACACTCGATTTTTATTTTTTGACACGGATGTCACATGTAATCTTCCGCTTCATGGAAAGAATAAGAGGTACCTTTATTTTATTTTATTTTACATGATTCCTGAAAATCTTTAAGGAAATGGAACAACAACTAACCTCCCCAGTGCTCATCACAGACTGTGAACAGGCTGGTTTTGTTTGTAAGTTCAGGCAGAAGACTGCTGCACTCCATCACAATGGCCTGTGGTATCATGATGATGCACGACACCACCCAGATGGCAAAGATACTTTTGCGAGCCCTCTTGGCTGTGCTCTTGAACTTAAGCGGGTGACAGATAGCGTACCAACGGTCTTGAGCAATGCAGCTCAGTGTCAAAACGGACACCGAAACAGAAATGGTCTGGAAAGACAAAATAAAGCACAAAGAAGCAAAAAGATATTGTGATTCTTCAAATGTTTTTTTTTTGTTTGTTTGTTTTTACTTAAAATGTAAAGAAGATGAATTACATTTCCTTTTTGCTTGGAGTCAGAAATCTTGATTTTGATAAAAGATGGAGTTAGCCTTTATTAGCAAAACCCAAAAAACTAAAGTTATGTTGTTGTCTCTAACACATTTGGTGATTTGATCTACTATCTATAGTGCTCGCAAGTGAACATTCATTTCTTCAAGTATTCTATGACTGATTGTGGTACTGTTTTCTTAGGTGTACCACCTTAAAAGTTTTACTGGTCTGATATGGCCATCAATGTGAATATTTTCTAGGGGTACCACTGATGATTAACATTTACCTTGTTCAAATAATTCCAAATAACAAAAACAAAATAGCTCTTCTTTGATTCCTTCTTTAACATTAAACATTAATTCAGAAGGAAATAAACCTCTTAAGATGCGTATTTATTTTTACAAAAAAAACAGCAGAAAAGAGTTAAATTCAAGAGCTTTAAAAGGCAAACAGTTACATTGTTTTCCTCTTAAAGCTGCCACATATAACATTTATGAAAAAATATGTTCATTTCATATTTGTTGAAATTGTCACTATGTCATCAGAGTATAGTATGAGACAATCTTGTAACTCCTCTGCCTATGCCCACTGCAATTCTGTAAGAACAGGTCCTGTATAAAAGTTACAGACCACAGCCTAAAATATTTAATGCAATCATGAGTTTTAGAATCTTTTCCATGTGATAAATTGGCGTGTAAAAGCTATGATTACAAATCTAAATAGTGTACATACTTCAAAGTGCATAGTAAATTATAAAATGAACTGTGAAATGAAGGATAAAGAGTTATAAATTTTAAAGTAATCTTGTGTAATCTTGTGCACCTTGTGTAATGACCCAGAAGTATCTTTCTTAATAAATTGTCTTTACAATTCCAGATGAAAGATAAATTAATGATGGTTTCAAAATATCCCACAGCATACTGAGATCAGTATTTAGTATTTTTCTGTAATTGACATTACAGAAATGCTACAGCAAACATACAGGTTGATACATGCTCCCTGCAATTCCTAGATTTCTGTTATTTTTCATTACCTGCCATGTATGAATTCCCTGCATTAATATTTCTTAGTATCAATCCTCTGCATCTGCCTCCAAACAGTTATGCTGTTTCTTTTTCTTAGTTAATTTACAATTTAAAATAAGTTTACATTATGCTCTTCCAGTTCTCATCTCTACTTCTGGGACCATTATATTAACATAAAATATGGTCTTCTTCATATGCAAATACAGCTTACTATACCTATGTGACTCTCACAATGCACATAGGAAGAATTATTTTTCAAAGGTTTAAAACGTTACACGTGAGTAGTTCTAAGTAAACTTTATGAGAATTAAATAAGTCTGACAGTGAGGGAAGAGGACACACTGCTCTCGCCACTATCTAAACCCCTGCTCTGGTGTATTGCGGATTCACCAGAGCAGAATGCCAATCTGCAAAGCTGGACAGATGCCGAACTTGTTGCATTAGAAGTAATTGAGTTCGAAGGTGCACTTCTCCAATTTGCAGTGAGCTTTCGTCAGTATTAATTTCTATACGCCTAGAAGTTCAAAATCTGTGATCACTTCCGGTGGGAAATAAATGTTCAGTTCAATTCTTTTAAAATATCAAGCATTAGGTTGGCAGATGCATCAAGATGTCCAACTTTTCTGGCCACATTCAAAGATTTAAATAAAATATTTAACAAGCACAGAAAAAAACACCAGAAAGTAAAAAAAAAAGGGGGTTTGTGAAACCCCACCATTATTTTTTTCTTTTTCAGAAATGATGATGACATTGTATGTTAACAATGAAGACCTTTAAAATACTCCAAATCCACTAAGAAGTACTATGAACATTTGAGCCAATTTCCAGCTACAGAAAGTAAAATTTTCTGGCTGGGTATATAAAACTTTACATTGACATTCTTAAGCATAGTTTAAATGGACTGTTGGATTTTAATTCAGTTGAAATGATAATCACCTTATAATTTCTTACCTGAAGATAGGGGACAATTTTGCAAAGAGTTTCACCAAAAAACCAAGACTCTGTGATGTCAACCACAAGACTTGCAGGCAGACAAATGATGGTGACCAGCACATCAGCCAGGGAGAGGTTTACTATGAAGTAGTTGGTCACTGTGCGCATGTGACGATTTTTCCACACTGCAAAACAAACTGAAAGAAATGAACTATCAAAGATGATTTAAGACCTGAAAACTGACTAAATATCAGAGAAATGTATGACACACTACAAACAAGCCCAGAAGGCATGCTATTAGGCAAAGAGTTCAAATTAAAATGTTATTTCACTTCTGCTGTGATAGTTGTGAAATATTCATCAACAAAAAGTTGATTCACTGATTATAGGCTGTTTCATAAAGAGAACTTCCCTTTAGGGCTTGTAAATGATAAAAGTTTGAAATATGTTGACATTTCAAATATAAACCTATTTTTTTAAGGATGTTGATTTTCCCTTGATTTTTATTTATCTTAAATCTGCATATTAGAGTGAAAATTGCCAGTCTTTTTTTTTTGTATATTTTTATAGACTCTAGGAATATCAAACATTGATGTTTACTCTATTTTTATATTTCTGCACCACACAATGTACTTTCATGTAATGTACAGAAAATTAAACATGTCTGAGGAGAATCTGTGTTTTAATGGGAAGACACGGATCAGTTGTGGTAAAGAAACCCTAATCAAGAGGAACTTTCAGACAGACAGCGTCAATGCTGGGATTCATACCGATTGATGAGTGTTGGACGTTAACTGTAGCAGTAAACTAGACTTCATAAGTTGGCAATGATAACCTTTTAATAATGTGAATGTCTTCACACCAAACAGATGGATTCAGCATAGGTCTTCTGCCTCCTGCTGAGACTTGCTGCCTCCGGCGAACAATACAATCAAAGTTGGTCTAATACTGTAGTTTTCTGTAAAGTTTTAAATAATGAAGCCGATTAGGTCGCACTTGGCAATAGTTACATATTGTGAATACCTTAAAGCAGAGCTCCAGCTGCCAACTTTGTGATGACATTCAAATGCTAACTGTGCAGTCCAATTTTGTCGTTCCTACTGACACTTTTATATTGGCATTTCTACCCAAAAACCTCAAATAAAAGTACAGACACAGTCCAAAATCCAATGTTGTGCTAAATAACTAGACAGCATGTAACACAAAATTAAATGGAGGTCAGGATACTTAGTGGAGGTTTTAGACCAGAATCTGTAGGCACAAGACAGGTTGAGGTTCAGATAGTAGATATGCAGACAGAATTTAGAGTGGACAAGGAAAAGAAGGAAGACATGGATCATGTCAAACCAAGAATCACAAGAGCAGGGAAATTTCTACTGGCAAATATGGATGATAATCTGTCAGAGGAGCAGAGATTGGAGACGGCTAAAATAGCGCAGGGCACAGGTGAAACCGAAAGAGACAATTAGACACGGCACAGGTGGGTTGAATCTCACTGATTACCAGTGAGAGACTTGCCATGAAAAATATGTTGACTTGAAAACATGAAGGAAGAACAGGCATGGTAGAACATTGAATCATCACAGTTTAACAAAGACAAATGAGAAAATTATTTCTGTTTCTAGTGGTTCAAAGCTTATTGAGACTGGTTCTACAAAGTACCCTTGTTTTATGCAGATGTGCACAACACTTTTTAGTCATTTATGTTTAAAAAAAAAAATGAAACCATGACTAGCTTTTATTTCGTGTAACAATTATACAGTATTTCATTTTGTTCTAATCTTTAATGTGTGGTTACACATTAAAGTTTGTGTAACCACAAACTTTAATGTAACAAAACAACTTGTCTTCACATTGTGTCTGATTTTGTGCAACGGTGTTATCAATTATATTTTTAAGGCTTCAGAAAATTATTCCCTGGCATGGTGCTAAATGAAAAAGGCTACCGTGTGGATTTCACTTTCAGAAAAAGCATTCTGTCCCAATTTTTTTTAAAACCCATGAAGCAAAAAAAACAACCATTTGAAAGATTAAACCGTTGACTCTGAATTTATTTAATCTCATACAATTCTAACACTCGCATTTGACTGGGAAATCCATGCTGTCTCTACCAACAGAGTTTTTGTGGTTACAAATCCTAAAATGGCTTACAGCTGCAGCATCCTTGATGATGCTCTCTTTACCTCATGCAGACCTCCTGCAATTCTCAAGCTTACAGCTGGTGCAGCATGTGTGTAATATCTGCCAATTATATTTTGATCTCCTTGTTACGGCCATATTTCGTTCAACTCGTAAGGCATTTTTTAGTTTTTTCTATCCACTTCTTTTTTGATGGCAGACATATTTAATATGTTTACTGTTTCATGAATGAATGAATGAATTAATTAATTAATTTAATTCCTTCAGACACATATTCTGCCACAGTAAAGATGTCATATTCCTCAGTGTGAATACAAGGCCATATCAAAAGTTTATAAATTAAACAGGTTATGTAGACATTAAGTATTATATAAAACTGTAAATCAAACATACACAAATAAACTACCTTATGTCAGAAAGATAAAACTCATTAAAACATGTCTCTTTTCCATTCTATATAATTTTTTCATTTCATGTTTTTCTCCTAAATCAAAAATGCTCTTTAGTCAAATGATATGATACAAATATTTAAAGGTCTTTTTCATGTTGATTTATTTATTTATTTATTTTTTATTGTGCTATGTCATGATTCTGGTTGCTTTGATTATTTCTGTATCTTCTCTCGCCTTTATTCAGTTCCTGTTTATACTTTCACACATACTGTTGCACTACTCTACCTTTGCTGTGAAATCCATCAATTTGCATTATGCCCTCTCTCCAACAACAGCTGGTTTTGCACTGAGCTGAGCAAAAGGACACGTTGAGAGCAGCTCCCACCACAACATGGATTGCTGTGTTCAGGTCTAACTTGCAATTTGTTGAATTTTGTGGAAGGGGAGCTCATTCAAAAGCTCCACATGACTCTGAATCATGGGGACTAATTCTAATGTTTCTCTTCTTTCTGCTCCTCTCATTTCTACTATCAGGTGTAGTTCTGACATTTCATGTTTTCACTGCACTCTCATTTAGATGAGCTGCAAACAGTAATCAGTGTTGTTTTGAAGCTGCAAAGATTTCACCACACACTACAGCCCTTGGCGTGAAGCCCCATTACAGCTTCTCCTCTGCTTTTATAATTGCTGACTTGCTGTATGTTACATTAAATCTTTTTTCTTGCCATCATATTGATTTCAACACAATTAACAACTTTTAAAAAGAGTTATAATTTCAATTGATGTCAAAATTTAAATATAAACTTCTATTTTAGGTTAGGTCTATTTTACTGGGATAAAATCCCACTGAGATTAATGCCCTTTTTTCAGGCAGGTCCTGGCCAACCAAGTTAGAGTTATGTTAGTGTTTCTGTCAAAGCCACAGTACTCTACCAGATGTACCGAACCTGATGTAAGAACTCAGTCATTTTTTATGCTGGTCTGAGATGAGTGGACCCAATCTGCTGGGTTTCCTGAGATCAATCACTTTTAAACTAATTTGGATGGTCGACTGGTCTGTGTATTGTTTGACAGCTAGGATTGATTGAAATGTATGTGGGATTGAACTGAAATGACTTGTAATTGCAAAGTGCCTCGAGATTATATTTGTTGTAAATTGGTGTAATATAAATAACCCAAACTGAATTTGTTTAGTCATTCTGGTTATTGACATGAGTAAAGCTATTGTAAAGCTGTTGAAGCTATGTTTTCAAACTCTTCTGCAATAACAAGAGTGAAACACGAGCAAATCAACTTCAAAAACAATCGGGTTACAACCAGTCAATGTAGAATCAGGTTCGGACCTTATTATGCTCCAGTGTCAACACAACTACTGCTAGTCACAAACTGTGCATTGCTATACATGAGACATTGTCTTGATTACAAATTAACTTCTTGTTCTGTTTGTTCTTCTCTTTTTTTTAAATGCTGTTTGATTTGTGATCCAAGAACAATTCTTTAGACCAAGAACAAATCCCCACTGAACAAGACAGTCAAATTTCACCAGCAGAAACACAAGCGGACTGCACTGAGGATAATCCTGAGTAATGGACTCATGCTAGTGTATAACATCATTTTTTATTGCTTTTCACTGCCAGCAGCTGTGGCTTAAGATATGTTCTAAATGTTTCTCTCTCTTCTACTGGCATGAATATAATAAAATATGAAAAGTCGTGAATTTGACAGAATTTTGCAGAAAACTTTCCTTTGGTTGTCAAAGTCTGAAACATGCCTGACCAAGAAAAATACACATTTTCTGAAGTCAGGATTGATTTTCAAGCAAATTACCACTGGGGGAAAATATTGAGAAGGTGGTAGAGGGACATAGTGCATGCTAATAAGATTGAGAGAAGAGAGACCACAGGATCTCAATCGAATATGTCCATATTATTAGATCCACACAGCATGGTCTCTACCCTAATAGTTTTAAGGATCCCTCTGACATCTGCTGAAAGTGAAAACCTATATACCCTTATGTCGTTTTTTTTTTTTTTTTTTTTTTTTTTATTTAGCTTCACTGTGCTCACTAGTCAATACTAGACACATCTTGTTACTACTGGGCTTAACCCTTTCTCGTATCACAGGAGCCTCATTAATCACTCTTAATTTTAAAGACAATTAAAAGCAACACATGTTGAGGAACAAATTAAAATTATGAGGCACAAACTCATAATTGTGTAAATGCTTTGCAGATCAATAATTACTTTAAAAGAATAATCACCCTTCTTTTCCATAAAACAACGATCCAGGAGAGTTACTTCAAGAAAACTTAAAGAAATCTGCTATGGCATGTGCAAGAACATTTCTCCATTATTTATATCTTTATGAGAAGTGTAGCACCTCTGTAACGCAACCCAAGACTTGAACATCCAGTTTGATCTATTTGTTCTCAAAGCTATTCAGAGTGGTGGTTTTCACTCCTGGTCCTCAGAACCCAATACACTGTACATTTTTAGGGCTTCCCTTCCTTCACACACCTGACTTAAAGTGTGGGAGATTACCAGACCTAATTAATTTCCTGATTCAGGAAATGTGGTGGAAGAAATAAACATCTTAAACATCCTGCTGACTACCAGAAAAAAAAATTGCCACAAAAGAGTTCCTAAGATGTGTCTGCTCCAAAGAACAATGACTTTGATGCTGATTATTAAATTCCATAGGGTAACATCAAAATGTCAACATAAGAATGGATGAAACTTATAAATCAGTGATTTTGTATATTTCTATTTGACATATTTCTAATTAAGAGGGTTCAATCTTTTCTAAAGAATATTACAGGTAAGAAAATATTCAGAAAGGATTCACTCCTTCCTATACAATTTCTTACCTGACTCTAAATATTAAATCAATGTTTCCCTAACATTGATTTAATATAAAATTAAATAAAATGTGAATGTAGATCAGATACAAATTTCTATGATTACTGATAAACACAGACCCAGTAACAAAATGCTGTCATCCATACCTCAAGGAGAAGGAAGAGAGGGTTTGGGGTGCGGCACACAGCATACGTTGACTCAACATTGATTAGACTTTGACATCTCAACCATTAGAACTTGACCACAAAACACAGATTCAATGGCATCTTTTCAACATTAGTTAATTGGCTAGAATTGGATGATTATTTAATGGTTGATCCACCATTAATCGTTAACCTTAACCAAAAGTCAACCCTTTGGACCACATAACGTTGAATTAACATTTTTTGCTATCTGGGAAAATACCCTGGCATGTTCAAAATTGTATCATAAATCAATTTTGGACATGCCAGAAACCACTGGTTTCTTTTTTCCACTCATCGTGAATAATATGGCTTTATTTTTGACAAGCTGATAGGTGCAATTTGCATTTAACTGCCAGCAGGTAAATTAATAGATTTCTTTTATCACTTAGCGACAAGCACAGTTGAAATTTACATGTCCTACTCCACCTGGGACCCCAGGCAATTCCAAGAGGCCTAATTGTGATATTGCATTTAGTGATGTGATAAGCACTGACTGTTCCCTGCAGGTGCTATAGAAAATTCTTGTGGAATAAAACAGACTAGTGTTGAAGCATGACAGCAGACAAGTTGTGTTTGCATAATGCAATATCAGAAAAGTTATTATCAGGTCATTACTTCACATTTTCACCAGTTTTGCATTTATTTTTTAGCTGTGTCATAAATGCAGAGTGTGCAGCTTCTCAGAGATGTGACGCCCCTGCTGCAGAAATTAACAAGGTACATATGGCACAGTGTGAAATATGTTTGTCACAACACTAAAACTAAATTATATAACACTAACAAAACTAAAAATATCAAATTCTCAGTACTACTAAATATTTTAAAGTGACAATAACAATAGTTTATAACATTACTCAAGTAAAATTTAAATAGTTAGTTTTATTTCTCAAAAAGTTACTCCAGTAAATGTAACCAGTATTGCCAACATCTTATTTGGGGGGGTTTGTCTTTCATATTTTTTATTTAACTTTGCTTCTTAGCAACCATAGACAATCATAATGTCGCCCTGTTAGCTCTGGCACGACAGGCCACACTAATTAAATCTGCTGAAACATGGTGTTCTGTTTGACAAGTTTATTATAAAACACTGTTTTGATTTAACAACACTGTGACATTAATAATGGTGTCTCCGTTGGATGTCTAAATAATTGAGTGAGTAGTCTGTAAAGTTGCACTTCAATCATCCACTAAATATTCTAATTATTTTGTTATGTGGAAATGAAAATCTGCTGTATTATTAGTGTACTTTAATCATCAATGATGAAATTTTAAAGGTCCCGTTGATTGATTAGACTTCACACAGATATGAACCTTTGACTATCACAAGGACAGTTAACAATGTGACTGGCCCTACAAAAAAAAAACAATATCACACTACTCACAAATTAATCACTTCCACATATTATGTTACAATATTCTAGACCTGCTGGACATGGATTTCTAGAAGGAACAAGCTGTGCTGCAAAGTCTTAGCTGAGATTGCATGGAAAATGTTCTGGTGCATAGAAGCTGGTGAAAAAATTATAATACTCATTGTGAAATAACATTTGTTTTCCTGTCCATCATGCAGCCATGAACATTAACAACCATTAAATGAATCACATCAAAAAATATATTTAATTGAAGTTCTGTACTTTTGCAAATTAAAAAAAAAGCTGCTAAACAAGGAGATTATATAAAACTCAATGACAAGAAAATGCATAGGAAGACAGGCACACAGGAGTTTGAATTGCAACAGTTACTCTGATAAAAAATTGCAAGAAAAAGAGCCTTCAGAGCCAAATCCGAGTGAGGGAAAAAGAAAAAGTTAAAACATATATATGTACAGAGAAAACAACAAAAGGAAAAAATATTTCAATCATTATTAATTCATCACTCTAAAACCAAATAATTTCTCTTCTTCCAAGTTTTTTGTATGAAGGCACATGCGCCTGATAAGTCAGTACCCCAAACTGGTTATATTAAGCCTTAATTATGTAAATCAACCAAAACAGTGAACATCCAGCTGCATGATAAAAATGCCACGGGTGGTGCTGTCATTACCACCCGTGGCACTTAACTTTTCCAAGATTCTAATGGAACTGGGCAATCGAAGGAGGAGATGAAGAAGGGTAAAATGATGGTAAAATGTCAATTTCAAGTTTATTTCATGATCAAACCAGAATGAGAGCACATCTATATGTGAGAGTGTTAAATGACTTATATTAAGTGTACACGGCCGCCTCTAACATGAAAATACCCCTTAACATTTCGTTTTGAGACGCACTCTGCTGCTCTGCGCTCTGTGGCTGCGCATGCCGCTGCATCACCAGATGCGCATCAGACATTCTAATCACAAACTAACACTCTTACGGATTCCATCAACATGGTTTAAAATCTTACTCGCCTTTCACTTATAAGTGCATTGATTTGTTCGAAGTGTAATTTGAAAGTGTGCTTTAAGGCTTTCTGCAACATTCGTTACGCATGAATGGAGTGAGGAGCGCAGCTTGAAATTCCACTTACCAAGCGAGTTTCCGATCAGTGAGACAAAAAACACAACTATGTAAGCCACGATTAGAACCCACTCGTACTCCTTTGGGTGTAAATAATCGGTCCAAATGTATCTCAGAAGTTCGTCGTCCTCATCCATGGTGGAATGCACGCGCGGTCCTGTGTCATTTCCCCCGGGGGCGGGATACTTACAGTCGTCACAATCTGCATTCTCCGTGATTTTTGACATGCTTCGAGTAAATATATGAGCTCTGAACTGCGGCGAAGGGACCTGCGTCTGCACTGATCGGAGGTTGTTGTGCCAAGACGCGGAACCGTGGAGCGATGATCGCGTACTCCAACGACCTCGTCAGAATGATGATGGTGTTTAGCCAACTGTCTCCATCTACGAAAACAGGGCCACGCTCCAAAGTGGTTACAGGTTATGGAGAACTTTAAGGGATAATGGAAAATAGGCGGAATATTTTCTGAGGTCATTAGTCCGCTACAGATGAAAATGCAAGAAAAGAAAAATAAATGTCGATGCATAAGAATTAAGATATGCCTATTTTTGTCGAACTGTTTAAAATATAAACCCAAAGAAACTGAAAAAAAGAACAAAACAAAATCTACATTTTGTTTTTGAATGCACCACTGCAAATCAAGTCATCTGAGAAAGACATTGGCTGGAATCATGTAACATGCTCATAAAACAAAAATCTAACTTTTTTCAAAATGATTTCAGTTAAAAAGGAAAAGGGACTTATGTTTTCCTAACAAGTTAAGAAACATTTATAAAGTTGCAAATACGAAAGTGCACCACTTCGTTTCTTTTCAAGGCCACCCATGTTGCAGTGAGAAATCAGGGATTCCTGCCTCTGCTTCGGGCAGTGCTGTGCTTATAGGGTTAAGGCTCCTGCTGTGTTTTCAACAAAGACTTGCTGCTCTGAGGTTTGCATTTTGGAAACAGTCTCACTTTAAAAGTTCTTTTTTGTTGTTGTTGTTACTTTGTTGTTTATCTGCACAAATGCAACCCTGCCTTATACAGGATTATCTGTGACTTCATGGATCCAACTCATTATCTGACAGACATGTCACAGTTAGTGACACTGATGACTCTTGTCTCTAATTAGCTGATCAGCAGCACAAAAGGCCTTCGAAATTTAAACTCACCTCATTTCTTTTCCCTGAGACTAAAGAAAAAATAATAATAAAATCTGCAATTTTATAGAGAAAAAAAAAGACAAAAACTAGGAAACTGCCTCAACAATTTCCTAGAGCCCTCCTGTTGTCCTCGGCTCATGTCGACCGAGGACAAGCCCTTAAAAAACATTTTTTCAATTGCAGCTGCATACAGCAACTTTAAATCTAACAGTCCTGCATCAGAAATACGGTGTGCACAACTCAGGCGGAAGTTTAGGCTCAAGCAATTCAAATGTGAACTTGACAAAAGAAATAAAAATAACCAAACCCAGGCCTCAGGTCAGACTGACCTGAAGACTAAGGAAATTTCAGACTGTTTGCCATTTCAGACAAACAGTCTGAAATGGCATCATTGATCTCCATAAAACTGATATTTTTTCAAATTTTTCCCCCCCTCCTCTTGCCCTCGGGTTGACATGACCCGAGGACAAGCCCTTAAAAAACATTTTTTTAATTGCAACTCCATACAGCAACTTGAAATCTAACAGTCCTGCATCAGAACTACAGTGTTCACAACTCAGATGGAATTTTCTGCTGGAGCAATTCAAATGTGAACTTGACGAAAAAAATAAGAATAACCAAACCCAGGCCTCGGGTCAAAATGACCCGAAGACAACAGGAGGGCTCTGTGACTTCTGACTTCAGGAAAACAAAATCCTTTTGGGCATGTTTACATCTGATTTTAAATAAATTTACAATATTTTTCATATGTAATGGACATGATGTAAAGACTGCAAGTATTGAGGACAACACATGTTCTTCCACAGGATTTGTTGATAAGTTTATAAAAGAAACTGAAATTATTTTTGGACGATTTTTGTTTGAACATGCTTCTAGGTTTGCCCTTGCTTTTTTGGACTCTGCTATCGTCATCATCTCAAAATGTCAAACTACACTGTCTGACACAATCAAAAAGGAAACGGTTCAATATTTTTGGCTTAATATGCAAAGAGAATAGAGTTTGGGAAAACTCAATAGGAAATGTCTTGCAACAAAGGTTCCTGAAGCAGAGTATTAGTGATAGACAGCAAAGGCTATACTTTAAGAGTAGGAATGAACTAAGCAAAAGAGACAAAAGACAGGGTAAAGGCAGAATAAAAGGGGCAATTAATCTCTGAGACCTATTGGTATAGGCCAATTTTTACAATAGAGAAAATAAATTTAAGTAAATTTACAATTTTCAACATTCTTGGATAAACACCTCCACATTGCAATGAGAGGTGGGAGCCTGAGGTCCACTCTTGTGAAGCAAAATGTCTTTTAGTTTGGAAAATTGGATTAGGTAAATACATTTCCCACAAGTTTACTTTGCTAGAGGCATCAGCATTAATGAAGGGAGCCAGCAAAGTTTATGTTTTCAATATTTACCAAATGAAAGGTGATAAGAATGCTGAAGGCTTCTCTGGTAGCCAGAGATTTTTGTTTATTTCAGTTTTTTCCCCACAGTTATGTACAGAGTCAGACTGTGGGTTGTGTGAAAAAAGGAGAAAGGTCAGTTTGAGTTCTCTTTTTGCTACTCATCAAAGTCAAGTTCTTTCTTATTGTTGCAAGCAAACAAACCATGCGGTTTAATGTCTTATGTTGTTACTCCTATTATAACACACTAACCAAGTTTTCAATAGATGGATGTGTATTAAATAATTTGGCAATTTCTTTGGATTAGAAAAAATGGTTTTGATCTCTGTCTACTGTCACTTATTGAAATGTCAAACCATCAAGACCAACACCTAGTGATTTTCTGTGGAGACTTTGTTTGAGTTTTTCTCTTGATGTTGTCATAATTTTTTATTTTATTTTTTGCCTGTTTACTGGTGGGTTGAAAGCATTAGAAATTCCTGATTTTTATTTACTTCTTTAGTCCAACAACCTTAAATTTAGTTGAGATTTATGTGGGATTTACAAAGAACACAAAGAACACATTACAAAGAAAATATAAAGTAGTACATTATTCTGAAGTGGAATGATTGTAACAAATTATTTCTCTTTTAATTTTTTTGCTTTAGGACAATACAAAAGACACACTATGAGTGAGAAGTTTGGACAAGTAAAACCTCGACTCAGTGGGGAGAGAGTTGAATGACAGAAGCTTTTGTCCCAAGGGAAGGATTTTTCATCACAGCGTTGCACCAGAGCTAATCGAGGCTTATCTCTATAAATTTCTGACGACTGTCACATGATATCGCCACTAGCTAACTATCTTTTTTTAGGCATCTGATTGTTAAGAAAACATTCCTTTGTTTCTGATGAACATGGAATCTCATGTAATTTTCCTATGATTCACCATCCTCAGTGTGTAAGGAAATGACACGTATTGTTCAGTTTTTTTGAATTTATGTGTACCAAAGCAAACTATTATCGTTAGGATCTCAGGTTGTTTAATTTGGTTTTGTTCGTTTCTGTCTTCCTTAGTTCCTTCTTTTTTATCAGCTCAGCTGTGTTTGTGTTTTACTTTGGTTCAGTCCTTTCTTAGTGATTCTGGTATACTATGTTTATTTCTTGTCTCTAGTTATTCTTGTTACTCTAATTTAATTGTTTAAGGTTAATTTCCTTGTCTCTTGAGCACTCTAACCCTGTCCCCTGTGCCATTTACTCTCTCCTCACTATTGCAACCTGTTAGCTCATCAGCCCAGACCTTTTGTTCCAGCATTCACAGTCACAGTATTTAAATCCTTCTCTTGCTCACACTCCTTACTTCTCTGTGGTTTTATTTGTAAGTTTCGTAAGTTTTTTATTAAATAATTAACATGATACATGCTCTAGCTCCAGTCTGCATTTGGTTCATTCTCAAACTCATACATCATGACACTTATTGTAAGAATTGTGTTTCTTGACACCTTGAGCGATAGTCCCTGCACAAGCCTAATCATGGACTATATCTTGAATAACGTGAGCAAGGCAAAACAAAAACAAGTAGCCCTTTCTGGGACCTTGGTTCTTTTAATCTAACTTACACACACCATAAGAACAGCTTTAAGGAAACAAAGCTAGACAAAATAGAGATGTGGGGAAATATCTCAGTATGCTTCTGCATAGAGTATTCCCAGGAAGATTAAGTAATTACCCCTGTAATGCTAAATGCAAGCAAATTACTAGCAATCATGATGAAACTTTAATTTTCGAGTTTTGTCAAAAATAGAAAAATATTAGGTAGGTCTAGAATGTTATTGAGCTATTCTGCAATCTGAATATACATTGATGAGAACCACTTTAATGTGTTTCTGGCCACATAGCTAGTAATAGGAATCATCTCTAGGTATCACTTTCTATTCTAGAAAATCACTGCCTAACACTGCGGTTATTTGGTTTATGATGATTTTAGTCTTAAATTTGGATCAAGGCATGTTAATATTTTCCATTGGTGTACAATTAAAAGTTCCACATTAAGCCTATTTTACTGTTCATTAACTCAGCAGGCAAATAAGGCATAGAAAACGTATTCCATGTACAAATGACATGGCATCACAAGAGAAAATGTTATCTGAAGGCAAATGCTACCCTGGGCAAAAAGCCATTTCACCAATATAAATAAGTTTCACAGCTAATAATGTATGAGCATATTAGCATATTTACAAAATATTGGTTAACTACAATGAAAATGCTCGTCTACTGATGTTTTAATGAGGCCACAAATTATAAATCACTAGGCACTCAAGAAAAACATTTAAACTGATAATTAAAATTCTTTATAAAAATGTTTACTGACATGATAAATAAACACAATACAAAATAAAAGAAACGTTTTCCAGGCTGCAGTGTGTTTACTATACAGTAACATTGACACACAAACCCTCATCTACCCCTCTACAATACATTCATTTAAAAGTGCATTATCTCTGAGCACATTCATTTCATCCCCTAAGAAATAAAAACCGTTGACCAAAGTATCAACGCCTCACAAGTGAAGCTAAGAGTCATTCGTTCTTGGCTTATCTTGTCCGTATATACATAGAGTTTTCACATTAAGGTGCACCATTCTGTAAACAAAGCAATCCCATTACTAAAGACCCTGTTAATTTTTTATAAAATTAATGGAAGATTAAGACTTTAATTGAGAAAAGTACACAATGTGCATTCTTTCTCACAATATTGTGCCCTACTTCACTG